TTAACAGTAATTACATTGAAACTTATGGGAAAATTTGCTTCGGGGTGCAACCAAATTCGGAGGGCGGAACGGATTAACTGGATTTACATTGAACCCTATGGGGAAATTTGCCGCGGGTTACAACCAACTCGAGATACGCCCAGAGTCACGGAACGGATTAAGTTCGTATCCCGAGGTACCACTGTACTTGAGGTATACAGTCTTGCAAGATTTTGACTTGACTTTTATAAAATGCTCTTCCCCAATCCAAATCAGAGAAAAAGGTCGTGTAAATGAATAAAGATCCAGAACTAAGGCATTTTGACTCAGCCCTAAATCTACTAGTATTTGGGTGTGTTTTGTTATTTTTTTTATTCTTGTTCCTTCTTTTTTTTTCTCAGTCAAGAAATTATTGTTGTGTGCTTTCTACACAATTCTAATTCCAGTTTCATTTTTCCCCGAAAGCAAATATAAAGATATACATATGTAAACTCATACACATTATTAGCAGAAAACATAGCGAAAAAGGAAAAAAAAATAACTTACAGCTTGTCTTCCTCAATGTCATAGTCCAAGTCTGCAAACATTGTTCTAAATTATCAGTGGCTTTGTGAAGATTCTGATTTCTCCAGACTACCTAAAAAGAAGAAAAAGGCCATCAATAGAGAGCATCAATCACCTCTTTTCATACGCTTACCAAAATCTTTATCTTTTCTAACTTCTATCTGCTGAACAGTAAGAAAAACTGTCTGCCTTCTCAGGTTATTATCATTAAACAATCTATGAAAGCTTATAATAAAATATGAAACATCTCACAAAACAATGTAAAGTTCCTAACTCTGAAACATTTACAGCTAAAAGAGTATAAATTATAACAAATGTTTGTAATAAATTAATTCATGGTGATTCAATTATTTGAAAATAGAAACAATGTGGCATGCATTAAGCATTAGGAATAATTTGTATTAGTCTCTCATTTTTATACATAGAGGTCTATACTCATGTAATTGAATGCATGGATATTGTGGACATGTTCATTGTTCAAGTGTGGACAAGTCAATGTACTTTTTGTATCTATAGTATATCAAATATTTTTCATGAATAAAGCATCAGACTAAAAATTCTAAATCAGATTCACTGTTCTATCTAACTTTGTACTGTCTGTTCTGGCTGGCAGCAGTTCCCAATGTTCAGCAGTCCTGATTTCCCAATCCTGCTTCTTGAACCTTTCAACTGGACACACTTCAAGTGGAGATGTCAAAGCTTAAGCCTGTTTTTTAGCTATCAGTATCATTTGTGCTAGCCACCCAACACATAACTCATGGGTAATAGCTGTAGCAATAGGTATTAGGTAACTGCATTCTCAAAAATGAATGCGATTTGTAATGAGGGAAATCTGCCACGAAAGTTCAAGTGTTTGCTTTGACAACTGTTATCTCTTATCTTCCTATTTGCCATCTCTTGGAGGTGTCATTATGACCTGTAACTCAAAAAGTCTGCAAAATATTGGGGGGGGGTGTTGTTTTTTACAAAGATAAAGGCCTAAAACAAAAAGCTTGGTGTCAGTTGCTTTCAATATCCACTTGATAAGTAAATACAAACCGGTGATAAAGCTTCTGAGAGCTGCAAATGGTCACCTATTGCTTTCTGAAAAAAAAGACGATGACAAAACAGTCTGGTATAATATATATAATGTGGTGTAAAGGTTAAGGTGCTGGATTAGAGCTGCAGAGATCCTGGTTCAAGACCACCCTCAGCCACAGATGCTCACTGGATAACTTTGAGCCAGTTGCTCTATTTCAGCCTAACCCACTTCAGGGAGTTTTGTGGAGAAAAACTGGAAGAGGCAGTGCTATGTATCCTGTCCTGAGCTTCTGGATGAAAGGCAAAATATAAATCTTATAAATAATGGTTAGAATGTTGAGCTTTGAGGACTGAAAAAGTTGGACTTAGATAGCACTGGGCTGCAGAGTTGACTTGGGCTTAAAATCGCTTGCAGACAGCCATTTTCACAGGGTGGTTGTTGCAAGACACTGATGGATGAATGAAAGGAACCCAGTCTTCTCTCTCTCCCCCCACCCCCACCCCCCAATTCATCAAAGCAGCAACGAAATATGCAACTCAGCAAGCTGGTCACATTTTCCCCATTCCCTCCAATCTTAGGAAAAGGAGTCACCTGTCCCTGAGGTAGGACTCTGGACCAGCAACGCTACCTGTTTTCAGTGGCAGGGCTGGGGAGAGGCCGGACCCCAACACACACACACACACACACACACCGTCCACGAATGTCAAGATTTACCGACGAAGCCGGGCGAAGAGATTACTGGGATGCGCTGCTCCCAGTAGGGACCTCCCCTTCCCTACAAAATCATCCCACCCTCCCTGGCCCCCTCCCAGAGGAAGAAGGACAACCCCTCCCCAGAGAAGCGGAGCCATTCAGCCACTGCCCCACCGGAAGCCTCTGCCTCGAGCTCCGCACCCACCTGCCCGTTTTCCCTTCCCGTCAGGACAGCGGGATCCGGAGGGTCTCCCACGTCACCGCCAGAGCTGCCCGGACACCTCCGTCCCCGCAGCGTGCATAGACCCGCCTCCTCCCACTCCGGGAGGCTTCGGGCTAGGGAAGGTACAAAAGGAGAATCACCTTAATAACGTCTCGCGATATTAAGCCTGGACGGCGCGATCTAGTGTTAGAAGAGAAGTGAGCCGCCTCGATACAGTAGTAAGATGCTCTCTTGACGTCACAAAGGCGGGGAGGGGGAGTGCGGGAGGAGGCCCCGTTTCGTTTAGTTAAGGTGGGCAGGTGGCGAGCGGGGCGCAGCGTTTTCAGCAAAACGGCAGAAAGTCGTAGAAGTACTTTCAGAGCCGGCAGACTTGTCGTAGCAGAAGCTTTCACGGGTCGGGGTCTGTTTCAGAGGTATAAATTGGCAAGTTGCTTAAACACTTAAAGCAGTGACCCGTTGGCGCGTGGGGTTAGAGATCCCATTATTTCCAGCCAAAGGAAGATGGGAGCATGCTGGCTGGGGAATGCTGGGAGTTGAAGTCCACATGTCTTAAAGTTGCCAAGTTTGAGAAACGCTGGTCTAACACATTTGAAGACACCAGGTTGGAAAAAGCGTTAGCTGGAAGAGGATAGAAGGAATGAAATGCAAGAACAATAACAGATGAGCTATGCTAACACTGGGAAGCTAATTACCATCTGTAATAAAAGGTAAATGCATTATTTTCTCTGTTCAAGCTCACCACATTTAAGGCAGTTAAAAGCAAAGAGAATGCGAGGGCTAGCCATATGACCCCACTCTTTATCTCTTCTCATCCTCACTTGGTTTAATACCCTGGCTAAGAGGCTCAAAGTTTGTTCATTAGGTTTAGTTCTAAATTAATAGAAGCAGAAACATGGTTTAGTTCTAAATTAATAGAAGCAGAAACATACTTTGGATTTAGGATTCTTTTTAAAAATGGACCAGTCTAAATACTTCATGTGTACTAGCAAATGACAAGATTTAACTATGTAGCACTGCTGGAATTTATGTACTGACAATATAATAAAACAAGTATACAGTGCTCTCCTTCAAGCGTGAGCTCTAGCTTGACAGACAAAACATTTTATAGATTTTTAGATTTTTACCTCTGCAAAAGAGTTCAAGTCTTAAAAGGAGGATTTGATTTAGCAAATCAAGAAAGAATCTTATTGCATCATGTGCCATTTTTTTTCCAGCTGCTGTTAAATGTCTGAAGAACCAAGAGTCTTCTGACCTGACTTTTGACATGAAGAAGAGAGACATTCTTTTATTTAAAAATGTGCCTGTGTGGGACATGACTTGGTTAACAATTGCTTCTCTTTCCCTTGCTGCTCTAGGTTTTAAGTGCACAGTTAAATGACATGAATGGGCATGCTGATCAAAGCATCTGAAGTGAAGCCACCCATGTTGAATGGGCAGCATGTCATGCGTAGGAAAGAGTTTGATGTTCATATCTGTGAAACAAGCAATAGATTCTTCCAAATAATTGAATTATGGTGAGGGACCTATTATAAACAACAGTACTGTGAGAGAAAAACCGCCATACATTAGAACTATATCTCCTTTGTATGCAGAGTTCCAAATTCAAGCCTTGATATCTTCTAGCTAAAAAAATCCAGTGGCAGGTGATGGAGAAGACCCCACCTGAAATCTGGGAGATGCCTTGGAGCTTCTGCAAATCAGAGTAGACTAAATGGATTAACCATTTCATCTGGAATGAAGTGTCATTAGGTACTTTGACTGGCTAGTTGGACATGTTTGCTACAGGAAATACTATGTCTGATGACTAGATAGGAAGACTGCATGCAGAGGATCAAAAGTTCCAGCTGAGCAACTCTCCAACTAAAAAGATCATGTGGCGGGGGATTGGGAAGGCCCCTTGCCTGAAGCCCTGAAGAACTGTAGAATGCCGTACTCAACATGGTGAATAAAATCTGCAGGAAACAGTTTACCATGTTTCCATCCCTGTTATTCTGGGAAACTCTTAAAAGACAAATTTGGCTGTTCCCTCAGATACTGTCTTCACAACAGTATCCCTCCTAAACACTGTATCTTCACATTGGGATGCAGTGTTATCGATCAGAATAAAGTTTCTCAACTTACTTCCCTCCAGAAATGTTGGGTTTAAACTCTAATAATCTCCAGCAAAGGCTAATGAGATTGGGAATTATTGGAGCTGAAACCCAATCCAGCTGGAGGGTCTTTAACTGGGAAAATGTGTATGGATAGGAAGCAGATCCTCTTGACTGTGCTTCCTTCTGCCAGCTGAGGGATTTTGTTTTTCCTAAACCCTGTCCCCAAAATAAGAGTGTCTGAGAGTGGAGATGGTAAGCTTTTCTTCATTGGACATTTTTAAGCAGAGACTGGATGCCTAACTCTCAGATAACGCTGCTGTTGCATTGTATATTAAACAGCGGATTGGAGTAGATTACCTTCAGAGTGTGAAAGCCTGTTGTGTCATGCTGAAGAGGAAGATTAGTTGTGGAGATTTCACAGGAAAGTTTGTCTTCAGATGGTGATCTTCTCAAGATACCAAGCTCTAAGATGTCAAAATAAAGTTTGAAATGCACAGTGTTAAATAACATCTGTAAAGTTTTAAAGGAATCTTCTAAATTACAGGGTAGATCGTTAAAAAAAACCTGCCTTTCCAGTAAAGCAATTTAAATATTTTTTCAGACACTGTTTATGGATATGAAGGATTTAATGAAGAATCAGAGTTCTCCAACCTACAAAAGCAAGTCTCTTCATTTCAGCAGAAAAGGTCTATGAATATGAAGCAGATCTGTACCACCCAGTGAGATGAGCCATGTGTACATTAGTATGTAGATAAAGTTGTATCATGCATGATGCTTTCCTCACACATCCTGTGTTCTCCTGGAATTACTCTGTACTCTTTTATAGGAAGTGTACATAAAAATAATAATAAAAATATCCTGAAAACCTTATTAGTGAATGTTGTTATTAGGCCAGCTCAAGTTAGTAAAATAGTGTACATAGCTTTATTATGCTCCTGAACTCTTCATCAGATAAATGGTAAGCAGAGTAAAGGTATGTGTAAGGAGAATAGCAGTAGGTCAACATTTAACTGCATTCTTAAAATATGGAAATAGGTTGCAGTCATTCAAATTCAGTTCAGGCAGGTGTCAAAATGACTTAGTTGTGCTTGTCCCAAGGACACTGAATGAAGAAGCAAAGATGCTTGATGGATTTAGATTGGCCTATGAAAATGAGATGGAAAGAACAGCACTGAGAATACATAGCTGCAAATTGTGGGTCTTGATTTGGAGAGAAGAATGTCGTAGAATTAGTAGATACACGCGCAGTTGCTTCTCTATAACATCCAAACCCACCTCCATAAAACAAGACCATCTGTAAGAGGGAAACCCATCCTGCAGGCCACCCTTAAGCTCTTAGGCATGGGCCCTAGAACTTTTTCAAAAGTTGCAGCTGATTTTTTTTTCCAAAAACCAAATAGTTTATCCATTTTCAAACAGACATACATAAAACACAATAAAATAAAAGCAATTTACCATGCACAAAAACAAAAGGAAAAAAGAACTTTATACATCAAGAAAATATATAAAAACAAGCAAACAAAACCCCTAATTGCAATAATATCCCAAGTTCACCTGATTTTGTAAATCTTTTTTTAAAAAAAGGAAACCACCAAGCTTTCAATGTTGAGCAAGCCTGTTCAAAAAATTTTCCCAAAGGGAGAGAGAACATGACATTTTTGGATTAACCAAATATATAATTTTGTCAAAAACTGCTAAATCACATATCTGTGAAATCCAGGATTTTATATCTGGAAATATAGTATTTTTCCATCCAAGGATTATCCTTTCTGCTATTGTTAGAGCACCAAAAACCCATCTTTAGTCAGAACATGCTGAACCCCAAATAGTATTTAATTCAGTACAATATACACATCTTTAAAATAAAAGTTTTCTCCATAATTATGTGTTATGGAGAAATGTATTATGTAACATTACTCCAAAAAGGGTGTAAAGCAGAATGTGAACATGCAGCCATTCAGTTGCAGCTGAATTTTAATTTTCGTAATAGCATAAGAGAAAATGCTTTGGTATGTACAGTGTATAGGTAGTCCTCATTTACTAACCACAACTGGGACCAGCAACTCTGTCACTAAGCAATGCGGTCATAAAGTGGAAAATCATGTGACCATGCCTGACCTAAAGCAGCAGATCATCAGTTCCAGTTGCGGTTGTTAAATGAATCACCGCAGGTTGTTAAGCATGACATCATGACTTCAAATGACTTGTGACTTCCTGCCGACTTCCCCACTGAACTTTGCTTGTCAGGAGCTGGCTGTGAAGATCACAAATGGCAATCATGTGACCTCGGGATGCCGTGACCATTATAAATGTGTGCCAGTTGCTAAACTCCTGAACTGTGATCATGTGATCGTGGGGACGCTGCTATGGCCACAACTTCAAGGACCAGTCCTTGTCTCGTTATTCAGTGCCATTGTAACTTCGAACAGTTGCTGAATGAGTTGTTGGTAAGCAAGCACTAGTTGTAATATATTAAACATATATTTAATGTAATGTTTGCCATGGGCCCATCAACTTTTTGGAGCTCAGCCCCCATTATGCAAGTTAAAGAACTAAGTTGGATCTCAACTTGAAAACATCTGCACATCCCTGAATGTCTAAGTAAATGGTAAAAAAAAGCACAAGAGCACCATCATGTGGTTAAGTGTCAAGATTGCTTTTCATTCATCTGATTACAAGGAGGAAAATATAAAATGTAAATCATAGTCATGCATAATTATTTTAATGTAGTAATTAATAGGATTATTGGTATGATTTTTTTTCTATTTATCACTTTAATAAAGGTCAGAAAAGCAGGCATTGGGCTGTTCAGCCTGTAACAGGTTCTACTGATGAGATTCAAATGGCATCTCTACAGTAGATTAATTCCTATCTAATTTAGTCCTTATCAAGGAGGAAGTAAACCCTGCAGGTACTTCTGGTAACTTTTCAATTAAAAATTAAACTCCATATGTATTGTGAATCTTTTGACAGGTCATATCTGACATATTTTCAGTAGCAATACCTTGACTGGGCTTGGACGTTAGGCAGGGTCAGGCCGA